TACTTGCTATCCAGGGGGTTACCTCGGTGCCTGGTGGGTATTTATGTGCCGGCGAGGATAAACAAAACCTCAGCCAAGGGCTACCTGAAGCCAGACTCCAAAGGTTTTCTCAACGAAGGGGTCTGGGAGAGCTCCCTTGGGAGGACCCTTTTGAAGAACTCTCAAACTCCCAACGTTGGTTTTTCAGACGAAGCACATGCATCTGGTGAACTAGCCGCGCGTGCCAAGTTCTTTCGCGGCAGCGTGTTGGTTTCGGCCGCAGATTTGGCAGACCAGATTTGGGCCTTTCCATGCCCAACTGTGTGGCTCCTCCTGATTGTCAACAAAAGTTTTGGAACAATTCCACAAAGTCCAGAGTGAGATCCCAGGAAAAGGGCGACAGCATAGGTTTCCCCCTGCAAACTCTCTGTTTGCTAGGGGCCTGTGCCGAGATGCTGCCCACCTGCAGATGGGGGTCTTTGGGCCATGGCGTCCATGGTATAGACCAGGCCAGGGTATTGAAGGGTATAACCTCAGCACAAACACTTTCGAGGTGGATCTCAGTGGCGTTGCCAGAGCGGGGTGCTGTCAGCTGTGCTGCCATCCACCAGTCGCCTTTGTCGCTGGCCAAGGCCCCTTGCCAGACCGCCTGCAGGTTATAGGCCTTGACTTTTGCGTGCACCTCCTGTTGCCGAGCGGATTCAACCGTGCCCTTTAGCTCCTCAACAAGGTACTATTCGTGCGCGTGCTTGATGGTGTAGCTGTTGCCATTTGGGTCGACCCAATCGTACGGTCCTTGGGTATGCCACTCACGGTCCAGGAGGTAGGCAACGGAAGGGCCCAGGCGGCCTCTGACGTGTGCCCACCGACGGTCACAGTGTTGCAGCCGTTTCCACATGACTTGCCCGCTGTGCTGAAACGGCTCGGTTTCCCCGTGAGGCCTCACTTGCTGACAGGTGAGGTCCACTTCAAGGTCGCGGATCCTGTCAGCGACCTCGGAGGCCCTCGGAGGCCACAGCGACATGTCCAAACCTATGGGGAGGCATAGGCGTACCTTCTAGTGGGCGGAAGGCCAACCGCCTTGTCCCCACAGCATGGCAGAGGCTACACCCGCCAAAGAGCCTGAGGTTACAGATTTGTTTGTGACTTTTGGTTGTAGGAGCTTTTTGTTGCGCTGGCTTTCTTTAGCAAACCGTTGCTTTTGGACTAGGCTCAGGGCGCAGTCCATACCCATGTCCTTCATGCTGGTGAAAATCCTAGGATCTTCACCAGTCCGACTATTGGCCAGGCATTTGCGCACCTCTGGGCTGGAAGCCAACATGCGGCGTTTTGATTTTGGGATGGCCTGTGACATTTGGTCTTCAACGACCAAATGGCGTTTGTTTTGGTAGGCCTGGGCTGCCAGGCAAGCCACCCAGGGAAGAAAGCCTGCGGCCTGCGGCCAGGGTTCTATCCTGCAGGACGATATGGTCCATGCAATCGTAAAACGTCTGGGTCAAAAGCACCGCCACCAGGTCCATTTGCCGGAGGTTGCCACCTCCCCACGTAGCAGCCTGGACGTCCGGAGCGCTACACCGCCACCTGAAACTCCACGACTAGCTCTCCCGGCTCGGCGTCAATCCCCTGGCGCCTGGCACGGCTTGGCAAAGAGTCTCCCGGCCGGCCTTGCCAGCTTCTTGCTTGTCTTGACAGGCGCCGTCTGAAAGAAGAGGCTGATGATCTCGGCTTGGTGCGTCGGTGCAAAGGCATGTCAGAAGTGCGGCATGTGCAAGGTCATACTCGGCTCGTGCACTACCCTTTTGACAGCTTCGGTTTGTCTATGACTGCCTGGACATCAATGGTCCCAGCGGAATTGCAGCTCTGGAGCAGCCGGGAGAGGTAGGAGATTGCCCGCAGCTGGGCGGGGTTCGGCTGCTTACGCATGGCTTCCTTGACGGCAACAGTGCCCCCTGAGTGTAGATAGTTCAGAGCAGCAACGGTAATGCAGAGAAGGCGACGCAGCCGACTCGGGCTCTGGCGGCGCTAGCCCCAGCAAGGGACGGTCGTTGCAGAACACTTGTGGTGCTTGTCGTGGGTGACGTGGTGTCAGGGCAGCCAGCTCTCGGAGGGCCAAGAGGCAAAGGAGCTGTCCAAGAACTTTGTTCCCAGGCGTCCGGGCCCGGTCCGCAAGGCTGCAAGAGGCAGAGCCACAGAGGCAGCAGGAAAGGGTCATAGCAGTTGCCAGCGAAAGCTTCACCAGGGGCGAAAGAGGTTTGCCCGGAAGTCTGGAGGGGGTCGATCGCCGTTACCATGGGCATCAAAGGGGCCCTGCGTATGATGGAAGGACGGCCGAACGGATGAGATTCTCTCTTAACTGTCAAAAGGCGAAGTGCAGGGAGGCGCGGTGGCGTTTCCCAAAAAAAGCCTTGCCTGTAAAGGCGCATATGCCACCTCCCATTTGTTGCCGTCCTGAGCTGCCTGTTCCAGGGCAACCATCATCAGCGCTATCCCATCCATGGCTCCTTGTGTCTCTCCCGCAAGGGGTCATGAAGGAGATCAAGCCGAGCTCCAGGGCTTGCCCAAAACCTCCGTACCTTTCTAGGTAGGACTGGAGACTGAAGGGCTGTGGTGTGGCCTGCAGGTCGGTAAGGGACTAGTTGGGTAGCAGCAGGAAGCCTTTCTGAGATGATTCACCAGGAGGGTCAGCACTGACTCCTGGGAAGCCACAACGGCCTGCAGAGTTGAGGGGTCTGCAGCATCCCCTTGCGTCTAAAGCCGGAGCTGGCGGTGGTGTCGACAGGGGCTGACCGTCTCGAACTCGGACCCGGGCTTCCAGGGACTCTTGCCTGGAACCTAAGGCCTGGAGCTGCGAGGTGATGCAAGGAAATCTGGGACCCGCCTCTGAGGGAGAGGGATACAAAATCTTGAGCAATAAAAAGGATCAGCAAAGACAGTCAACAGAATATAGAATCAATGACATGGGGCAGCAACCTCGAACCCTCGCGCTTGGCATCCGGTCTGAGTGTGCCCGGTCCCCCATCATTACGGTTGTCTCTCGGCCTCGTGAAGGTCCTGCAAAGGGGTGCGAGGTGCACCCATGCTAGCTCATGCTTCCTGCTCTCCAAGGTCTCTACGAACACATCGTCCTCGGCGAGGTCCCAGCCCCGAGCGCCCTCGTTCCTGTCAGCGGTCTGGCATACAGCACGACAGCAGAGCCACGGAGTCATTTTTTCTCGGGCGGAGGTCGGAAGCGCCTGCATAGCCTCGAGAGTGACACAAAAATGATTGCGATGGCCGCGCCCCCGCCGTTTGCCGGCCCCTTCAGCCCTCCTTGATGGAGTGCTTTCCAAGGCATTTCTCATGCGCCATCGCTTTCGCCAAAGCAGATGCAGCCACCACCCTGGTCAGCGAGGAATCTGCCTTGGCGTGTCTCTTTCTTGAAGACTTTGGTTCCGCCCTTTCTCAGAGTGAGGTGCGGGTGGCGGGGCTGCCCTTTGCGAATGCTGCTTCTCTTCGAGCTGGTGGCCTGTGAGGTCGGTGCCTGACCCGATTCCCCAGGCCGGGAGTTATCCGAGGCCATGAACATGGCTGTGGCGACACGGAAGACCCTCCCAGGGCTTGCCCGGCTGGAGCCCCCAGTGCTCCGGCCTGCAGTGGTCCTCCAACACCAGCAAGTGCAACATTTTCGGGTAGCGAACCACCAGCTCCCGGCGGACAAAGATCAGGGAGGATTTTTGTTTATTCTGGATGCCCGAAGCGTTGGAAGCAAACGGAAAGGAGGCTAAGAAGCAGGCCACCACTGTTGGGCTGAGAGGCTGAGAGAGTTACCCAGCTCGCCGGCTCCAGGACGTAGTCATCCAGATCATGCGGGCATGAAACATGAGCTCGTAAGGGGCACTCCTTGGCAAAGGGATGTAATGTTTCTGCCTGCAGCGTCCCGTGCCTTAAGCAGAACAAGCAGCAGTTGTGCGGCGTCGCCGCTACCGAGATTTTTGTCAGTCGTGCTCGACAAGTCAGACGAGGTTTGCTGGAGTTTACCTACATCAAGCGGTACAGCATGCACACATTGGCACATGCCTACCGATATACACATGTCCCCAGCGCGCAGGCCCTGCCCCCCAGTGAGCAAGCGCAAGACAAGCAGTGATAGATCCGCCGTGACGTTTGGCATCTCAAAGAATGAAAAGATGATATGCCGGCTGGCAATGTCAGTAGCTGCTCGCACGGGAAAATGCATGAGGTTGAAGTGGGCTAGGCCCTGCAGGAGGCAACTACATGCTGCCACCCCAGGATTCTGCATGTCTTTCTGTATGTCTGCAGGTCTCGCCCCCATGAGGCAGACGTCGGAAGGTCACTGCTCCCAAACACCTGTTGCAGATCCAAGTTGACAAGATGGGCCCATGTGCCAGGAACAAGCTTCGCTGTGTGGAACGGCTGTACCATTCGATTATGTTGATCCGTCAAGACCCTGTGCAGAAGGCCCAGATGCGCCGCCGCCACATGGAACGACCATGGAGTCCAGCCCAAACATACGAAGCAGGTTGGAGCTGGAGAGCGCTTATTATGGCCTAACAGCATTCGGGCAACCTTGCGTTGCAACAAGTCTAGCCGCTTCAATTGGGCATCAGACAATGGAATGGCAGCCACAAGGAACCAGCAATGTAAAGGCACCAGAACTTCCCAAGCAATGACGCCGGAACCCCATTGGAGCGCGCCCATCCCACAAACAAGCCAGTCTTCCGAAGTACCCTGTCTTCAAGATCCAACAAGGAAGGGCCCACGCAACCAATGGGTGTGAGAAGAGCGCCCAGGTACCGCGGTACCGATTAGTGCGAGGCAGGGGTTTTCCATGCAGCATGAGCTGCAAGTCTGCTGAGTTTGCCGTCGTTAAGACAGCAGATTTGTCGACGCCAAGGTTGAATGTCATGCGGGCGCCTCCTGCCCAATGCTCCGCAGCATCCAGAGCTGTTTGTGCACGCACCGGGTCTGCACTCAACAAGTCTATATCATCCACATAGCGAGCTGCGGGGAAGTTTAAGCATTCGTCAACGAGGCTGACGTTGCACGCAGTGCCGTGGACACACAGTGCATCATACAGAGGCAGGGTGAGGAGAACAAACAAGGACCACCTTGTGGCAATCCCACTTCGTTCTTGAAAGGTGAATTCACCGAGGCAAAAATTGCAACTCTCGAGTGCAACCCAGAAAGCAAAGTTTGTATTGCAAGGATGCTGTGCTCATGAATACTTGGTAAACGGCGCAAGCAGGCGACCGCCGCCAGAGCCGGCGGACGACAGAAAGCGGATGGACCGTCCAAGAAGACGACCACGCAGCTCACCAGGTTTGCTGAGCGCATGCGCAGCAGATCTCCCAGAAAAACAAAACTTACATCCGGACCTTTACTACCACCCAGTTGACAGGGGCACGCCTGAGCACGAATGGGTGGCCAAATGCGACGGAATAAGATCCTGTCCAGAAGTTTGAGGCCAAGCGGCATGAGAGAGATATACACATACCCATACCCAGAGGCACACACATACTCATACACATACAGGTACGCGTACACATACACGTACACGAGCACACACACACACACACACACTCACTCACACACACACGTACACTTACACGTACGCCTAGACCTGCACCTGTACACCTAAACATGGACATATACATATTCATATAACATGTGTTGTACTTAGTTGCTGAGTTCATAAGCCACACAAAAATTTTGCATGTGCAGCTCTGTAAAGGATACTACTATTACAAACGGCGTACTGTGTACTCGGTGTACTCGCTCAGCTACTACGTGTATGTGCGTGTAGTTACATATATCTATGTATATGCGAGGCACAGTGCGCGACGGCTACTTCCCGGACGCGAGGAGCAGCTCAAGACTGAGCCTAACGCTGCTTCCAGGCTGTGTACCCGAAGTGGAACAATGCCGTAAGGCTGTGACAGCCTGGGTTGCAATCGCTCACCCCCTACAGCTGCTGCCAGAACGCAAGCATCTTGTGATTGAGGCTGCGAGCGGCCGCTCATGCCGAATTCGCAAACCTCAAGCGACAGAAAAGATTGGGGGCGACATTGCTCGAATCGATGCACAGCTGAAAAACACCGCAACTACGGCCACCTTCTGTACCCAATTGTTGAGGACATGCTCGGCGCCAGCTTCTTCAGTGATCGCTTCGACTGGAATCACAGGCTGGACCTCTGTGTCGCCATCGCTTCTGACTCCCCCTTTTGACTGCACGACAGCTGGGCGCACCGCCTCCGAAGGGAGTTCTTGCGGGGCCTGGTTCCAGCTGCTCGCCGTTTCGTTTGTGACAGCTCACCACGGCCCGTTTAACGGCCTGTGAGCTGGATGAAGCTGGGCTGGAACCTTAGTCGATCGCCGTTTAGACGGAGGGCGGAGAGGTGCAGGCGTTTTGCAGCGCCGTCGCGACGCTGTTTTTTTCAGCGAGCCAGTGAACGTGAAAGCTGCGAGTTACGATGTTCGCTGGCCGCAAGTTGCAGCCGCAGCTCACGCAGCTCCAGCTCGTGAACCTGTGCATCTGCCAATAAGCGAAGACCAGCTTCTTGTGCTGCTTGTTCCTGGTGCAGTGCCTCAGCAAGCTCTGTTCGAAGATGTCGCGATGTGGATTGTTGCTCAGAAAGTCGCTGTTGTAGCGCAGCCTGTTGATCCGTCCATTCCGCGTCTCCTTCTGGTGCAAGACGGGTCCTCCACAACCAACTTGTGAGCGAGAGCTGTTCGTCCATGTTGTTTACTTCTATACATCTAGATAAGCTTTTCACGTCAAGGCTTCAGCAACCCAATGCCTACCATGACAATCCCGTCCTGGCTGCCTGCTGTCGGTGTCGAGATGCCACCTCTTGGAGGTCATCGTACTGCCGGCCCATTGCCACAAAAAGAGTCTCAAGGTCTTGTAGTGCCTTTTGGACTGACTCAGTTTTTGCGCACGCGCTTTGTGCAGACTTAGCTCGGTCTTGTCTCAAAAGCTTCTGATGGAGCTCGCATGCTCTAGCTGCCCGGCTCCAGAAACCGTGTGCATCCTGCTCCCAAGATGAGCCAGAAGTCGCCTGCAGGCAGCTTGCCGGCACACCAAGTGCCATGTTCTCATTGCGCACATGTCTCGTTGACATGGGATCGCGAGAAGATGCCCAGGGTGCGTTTGACCCAGCGAATGGCATTGACTCCGTGAGCGGTTACATGACGTACTTTCGAGCCCGTAGCCGCGGCAATCATCAGGCATTCGCGCATGACGAGCCGAGATTCTTCACCTCTGCCTGCCTGTCCAGGTAGGGATTGAAACCGGGGAGGCCACAGCGAGAACCAAGCGTGCCAGCAGCATCTGGCATGGTGTACACCAGAAAAGTTCCATCCTGCATTGTGCGGGGACAGCGCGCACCGTGAAACTCTGCGATTGTCCTTTCACGACGACGTGAGACAGACTTTGGCATGCATCGAAGTATGCCAAGAAATGCCGACACGGAAGTCCGGATCATGGTAACATCCGTCGACGCATGTCGGAAGGCCGACATGCCCACAGTACTTACACGATGCCTCACGAAGCCATGCTGCAATGCTGACACGTCATACGGCATACCACCGACATGACATATGCTTGCGGTGAAGTCCGACAGGCATGCAAGACTGGTTCTGCCTGTGGTGCGACACAAGAAATTTGAACATCGGACTGATTCCGACTGCCTCATTACAAGAAATCGAAACGCGGACTTTGTCCAAGCTCGCACCTGAGCTCAAACAGACCGAGCGGCAGTTCGTAGGCACCAATGAAACGAACAGAATGGTCCAGGCAACCGGACCATCGGCAGTTGCAGCAGCAATGCGAACTGTTGTTCGCCTCAAATTGTGGGCGCTTGACAATGCGAAGCTGGACCAACTGAGGCCCCAAAAGCGGCACATGAACAGGCACGCAGGCTGTTGATTGAGCAGCTCAGTTCTGTGGCTAGCAAAGAACACACCGTGACAAGCAGCGCATCGACGACGAAGGCAAGCAAAATCCAAACTTGCTCAAGGTAGCTGAGAGATCTGCAACTCGCAGGTGAGCACCTTGAAAACAAGTACGACGACAACATCTGCTCAACAGAACCATCTCTGTTCTGAGCTGCCAGCTGCGAGCTTGCCAATATCATTCTGGAGTGTCCTTTGCATCATACAACCAACGATCGAGCCACTCCAATGCTGTAGCCTTCTCAAGAAACAGAGGCCGTAGTGACTGCTATGGTGTTACTCGTGTGGGGAAGAAGCACAAACTAGGATGTTCGCTGATCTTTCAGTGTAGCCTACGAAGACGCCAGAGCTATCGGACAGTTTGAACATCGAAATGTGAACGACGCCATGGCGACAGCACGACCTGCACTGCAAAATGCACATAGCACTGAGGTGACAGTCCGCACGCGATTGTGGTGGGAGAGCGATGAAGATAACAGTGGCGACATTCCGGCGGAAAGTTGGCAAAATGCGAAAGTGCTGCGGCCAACTCATGATTTGGGACTTTCAACGGCGGCGATATCGAGACCACGTCGGCGGGTTCGAAAGGCCACATAGCGTGGCCCGCTCATGGATGCACAGCCTTCGAAAGGCCAGGAGCAGGAGCAGCAGTAGCAGTAGCAGTAGAAACGGCAATAGCAATAGGAATATCAGTAGCAGTAATAGTGGCAGTCATAATATCAATAATACTTGATAATAGCACCAATGAAAATACTGACAGTAGTAGCAACTGCAACAATGTTTATCAGCCATATTCGTAGGTCGGAGGCGTAGTTATGGTACTTAGCACTTGGCAGTAGTAGCTTTTTTCGTCACCCACATGGCACGCCAATGACAACTCTGCGGGGACTTAAATGGTAACTAGTCACAACGAAACTCTAGGTCATTTGGCAGTAGCATCTGTCGCGGCAGTGTCGCTCCTGGTGTGCGTCAGCTCTGATTCTGACGGCACGATTGGCAAAGCAGCGCTTAAGTTGCGATTCCATCGGGATCTGGCGGGCAGCTTAAGCTCGGCTCAGGCGCAGACTTCGTGATGTGAATGTAATTCTCGAAACGTTGTCGGATCATGCCCTGCAGCTTCCCTTTGAGGTGCTCTCCCATACCTGCAATCATTTAACCTGTGCCCTGTCTCTTGAAACCTCTGGAATTTGCGACTGCGCGACAACCAACATCTGAGTTCTTGGCGCATGACGAGAGGATTGACCTCCAAAGCTCAGGGATGCAATCACACGGCTTGGATGGCGCACCATGGTGGTGCTTTGTAGATACTGCTTAGGTGGGGTACTGTGATCGTGCCATCCCTGGCAGTGCCCGACGGTGCAAGCGATGATGATGCCTGAACTTCAGCTTCTAGTGAAATACCAGCCTTCGAAAGGTGCAGTACATGTTCAAGGCCGCTGCATCATCGTGCCAAGACCTGCGGCCCGAAATGCCCCATGCATCGGGTTGAAGCAAGCAGCTGGATCAGCTGCAGCTGGAGGATCGATGAGTTTCCGGCGAGAAGTCCGATGGCGGGTCCGAGGGTGCCTTTGACCTCGCTGGTGATTGCTCGAGCCTTGGAAGGCATCGGAGACCAAAAGGCGCCAACAACAGACCGTGTTTCGGTGACGCCAAGCGCAGCGACAAGAGCTGCTGAGGCTGATCTCCGCTGGAGGACGCTCCTCCGTCCAGAAGAACCATAAAGAACCAGCGTGCTCTCATCAGAGCCCTGCACAACAGCAACGGCCGTCGTCGCCTGTGCAAAAGGCCAGCGGATGGGCCGAAGACAGCGACCTGCGGATTTGGCAATGAAAGGTTGGTCTTCATTTCAATGGGAAAAGGGTTGGAGGTGAACTATGCTAAGGTTGAGCCTAACAAGATTTCCGCCAGCTACATGCTGAAACAGCCACAGGAATTAATCTGAGAGCCTCAAGGTATCAAGCAAACAGTCCGAAAAAGCCAACGGTCGGGAATCGGTTTCTCGAGTTCCCAGGAGTTCTTTGGAAGTCTAGAAAACAAAAAATGATTTCCTATTCTCGGTACGAAGTGTCCTCCCAGCCAACAGGACAACAACAACCACAACCTTGAAATCCTCCAAACACTGTACAGTCGAGCATTGGAAATCCAGGAAAGTCCTCTCCGCATCTCCTCCAAAATCGTAAGAAATGCTCCCAAGTCCTGGATACTGTCAATTTTGGAGAATCCGCCGAAATGACTGGAATTCCTACTTCCTGAAACAATGTAGGAAAGAAGGGTCAAAGGCCTCAATGGCTTGGAAGCATTTGTTTTCAGAACAAGTTGCACCGGCCCGTCTGAATGAGACAGCAGCGATGCGGCCTGTATGCCATGGCATGTTTCTCTACTGGCTCGTGCCCGTGCCTTCTCTGGCCAAACCAAACGGCTGACACAAGTCCGCATCCGATGGCGCACGAATGACTGCAGGCTAACAAAGCAACCCTGCGGGTGTGCCGCTGATGATTTTCGGATCTTCGCAACTCATCGCATGTGGGAAAGGCTGCCAAGCCTATTTGCCGCTTGAGACACACTGCCTCTCAATTGGAGAAAGACCTTGGCAACAGCGTTTTCTGAATGTCCCTGCAACTTGTGGGATTGTCAAGGGCCCCGCTGTGTTAACGGAGGTGCTGCTACCGACCTTCGACGAAGCTTCTCGCTGATCCCGACCAGATCATGGACTGTCCCATGTCACTCATTACACTGTGAACTTCCTTGAGCAGAGTGCTTGCATCTGTTTGCTGCCGTCCAAGGCTGCCAAGGCCTTGCCAACAGCAGAAGTTCACAGATACAAATCGCCTGCACACGAGCCTCCTTGAGCCCATTGATTTCATTCTCTCTTCTTTGCTTTCGCTCCTAGCACGTCATCGCAGACCCCGGCACTCGTGGTATTCGGTCAAGCGTTTTGCTGCCCAAACTTGCACTTCTCAGTCTTCTTAGCAAGCACTCCTCGTATGGCTCGGGCTTGGCCACGCATTGATCCTCTTTCGCCAACCACCCGTTAACGCCATGATTAATCCAAGGACACGTGCAGTCGCAGAGATGAAAATGAATCCACAAGCGCTGCAGAATTGAATTTGCCACGAATGCTGGCGTCGCAGCCTGTGAAAAATTCAACTGACTTGACTCCTGTAGTTTGGCGGTGAAGTCCTTCCAAGCTCATGTCTGCAGAAAGCACGGAAGAAGGTCCGCGCGTCCTGTAAAGCATCCAGCTCCTCTTTGGCAGCTGCGTGGTCCGAGCTGAGCTCGTTGAGGAGCTGTGCCCGAAGCTCTCCATGAGTGCGTGCCGCACAGGGTGAACTACTGCCAGTCCTCTTACCACCATCGCCACCACCACCATTGCTACCTACTGCTACTACTACAACTACTACTACTACTACTACTACTACTACTACTACTACTACTGCTATTTTTCAATTGAACGCTGCGCTTGGCGGGCGCTGTGTCTGCCACGCACTCGTGAAACGTGGCTATTGCATACCAAACACATCTCTCGCTCTGCTACTTCCTCCTTGGTGAGACAGGCTCTACTAGAGTCAACCTCAGCAGTATCCTCCGACACCCTCAGTGAGTCACAGCGTCCAGTACTCACGCACTTGAAACAGCTAGGTCGTGCCCCGAAGTGTCGGCACCCAGAGCTCCTGTCTAGTGGCGCCCCACACTAGGTAACTCCTGCTTCAAGCGGTGGGCCGGGAACGACGTTGGGTTGTCGGGGCACCTGTGATGAAGGCCGTAGCCAAGTGGCACATGATCAGACAGGAGCCGACTGTTTTTCGTCAAGGCTCCGAGTCGTCGCTTTCTGGGACCTGGCAGGTCCCTGACAAAGCTGGCAAAATGACTGAAAAAGCAAATCCCGGTAGGCTGTGCCACATGGGAGACATCAATGCTGTGCCGAGATGCAGTGTTGAACAGAAGGTCAAGGCTACCAACGGAGCTAACCTATGCAGGAAGCTAAGCCTTCGGACCATACAGGCAAAATGCCTGGGTACATCTCCGTTTAAGCTGTGCTGCACCAGAGAAGCAGCAAGGCTGTGCCAGGCTACCTTGTGAGAAGAAATTTAGAAGCGCCTCTGACGCCGCCAGTCCCGTGAGAGGAAGCCTGGTAGCCGTGCCAGTTCCAGGCTCGAGGAATGTGGAGCGGTGCAGCAGGAGTACCCAGGCTAAGAGTAGGACATAGTAGGACCATCCTTCGTCCGTATGACGTGCTGCTTAAGCCAGCGCTTTGCCTGCGCGACTTGAACCTGTATAATCATCTTCGATTTGGAAGCGTTCATAGACATGCCGACGTCAACCAACAGTGCGAACGTAGCGCGAATGCAGCGACAAAGGAACTCTAAGTTACTTGGCTTTCAGAGCAACCATTGGAGCAAGAAGTCGTCTGCGTAAAATGTCACGAGCTCCCTCGCCCATTCCTCCCGTACACGCTCACACAGTTGCTCATACAGCCACCCGGAAAGAATGGCGTAGATCAGTGGCGACAAAGCGCAGTAATTACCACGCTGCAACTCAAAAGATTCAGTCTGCTGTCCTCATTTGATGTGGTAGCGACACTGCATGTGAATATCCAAGATAAAATCATGCAGGGAGTCAAGCACCTGCGCACTGCGCAGCGATGCAGACAAAGCCCACCGAGGAATGACGTCAAAAGCACGGCTTAGATAAATGGATAGGATTGCTCCCCGATTGCACTGCATTGGCAAATTGACTACACGCCTAACATGCATTGTGTGCACTCCATGTTTTAATTGCTCCCGAATCTTATTGTTACGACTCAAGACCCGGCATAGTGGCATGGTGCTTCGTCCAGCGATCTACCCTCAATGTAGGCAAACTGTGGTTTCGTGAGAAGCGCTGGTGGGGCATTGGAGGCCAAGTGGTCAAGTGGTCTCAGATCACATGGCTGGCGTTTAGGCTTATTTGGCTTGGGCAGCGGGATGGCGGGATGAGCGTGCAATCATGCAATCCGTCATTTCCTGGTGCTGTTTTTGCTGCTCTCGATGCTGCTGAAAATTCTGCAGGAAGTAGTCTGCGAAGGCGGAAGGACAGACTTGCCAGACTTCAGCCAGCACGCAGTGTTGGGGCGCTGCTTTGCGTGGTTTTAGACCCTGGATAATCGCAACCACCTGAGAACTAAACCCGGGATCAGCAGAGGAGGGCTGGTAGTCCGTCAGAGGCTGATCTGTAAATGCTTGCGCGAAATACATAGCAGTGCACAGCTTGCATCTGCTGGGCTTTGGTCAGCAGCTGACCCTCTGATGGCTTTCCATGCACGGTGACATGCAGCATATCTCTTCAGGAGCTCAAGCTTACGGTGGAGGCTACGTCTATCTCCCTGCCTGTGCCCGACGCAGGGCACGATGCTGTTGCCACATATTTCTGATACTGGTGACGACCTCGATAGTTTCTCCGGGCCTAGTATGTGATCTACGCTTAGCCGGGTAGTGCTTCTGACACAGCTGCAACAGTTTCCGATAAGGTCCAATGTGCCCGTGGGCCTGTGAGACAACCTGCTGAACCTCGGCACGGACTTCTGCGGAAGGGGCCACGTCGAGCTTTAGAGGGAGCTCAGCAGGTCAGCTTTGCAAGAGGAGGGGTGAGGGTGTTTTCGCCTACTCAACCACCAACCAGCCGACCAGGGAACACTAGCAACCAGAGGTCTATGTCTATGTCGCACCTGGTACCGAGCTCTATTACCGGTGGTGCTGGGACGGCCCTGGATCAGTGCTTGGCGGACAATTCGCTCTGCGCTGTCTCGCAATCAAAACGTCATTGCCCAGGTCTTCCAGGCATCCACAGTTTCCTTGGCAAGAGAGCTTTGGACTCTGCGGACGAACTCGTTGTCAAACATGTTCGCGCTCCTCTGGGTCTCTTTGGGCCAGTCTTGGGCCGGCACGAGGATGGTCCGGAACTCCGATTTGGTCGTTGACCCCGGCGCAGAGGTCGACACCCAGCACGTGAAAGGCTTGCTTGACCGTAGCTAATCAGACCTCTGTGGCACAGCCTCCTCCTGATTATTGGCACAGCCATTGAGCAACACAAAGACCCATGAGGAGTCAACGGCCCCAAGCCCAGCACCCTGCCTACATTTGCTGTCTGGCTGTTTTTATATGACTGCTCCCAAGAAAGGGACGTCGCCGCTGTCCTCGCCTTCCTTCTCCGGCTCGACTGGGTCCGGTGGCGGTATCTCCTTGTTGGCGACCGTCTCGCCGATGACGACCTCCGCGTTCCACTCGGCCCGGATCTCTCTAGCCAGTTGGCCTGCTGTCTCTTCTCCGAGCTTGCCAGTCCTCACTCCAGGCCGGTCGCGATCTCCCTCTCATCGAGCTCGCCTTCGCGGTCGTCCGACCTAACCGCCTGCGTGAAAATCGCCTGCAGCCTAGCCACCCTGCAGCCATACACCCTCATGTAGATATCCGAGCCCTCTGGTTTGCACCGGCCTAACATATCCCGGTCTGGCGGAATCGGCTTGAAAGGTAGCCCGTCGGAAGCACCGCCCTCTCGCTGCGCTCCGACCAGTAGCGTGCGCCACCCACGCGTCCGCATACGTAGCCATCTTCTTCTCCAGCTGGCCGTTCTCCTTTAGCCGGGGCATCAGGTAGTCTCGGTTGTGGCCAGCATAGCATAGGCCTTCAACAGGTTGAAGCCCTCGCCCAGCCAGCGCCTATCCTCGAAGAAGGCGTTCTCCGACACGCAGACCGGCAGCTCCTTTATCCTCCGCGTGGTCCTCCGAAGGATGGTGATTAGTTAGCCGGCCTTTTGGGAGATTGTGATTCGCCGGGGATCATAGCCTGGAGATCGGACCAACGGAGACTAGCCCAAACCTTGGCCAGCCTGGCCCAGGCCCATATCCTCCAGCCTATGCTATGCATGACTGTCCTTTCCCAGCGAACAAGCAGCGTAGCGTGGCGCCCTCTTAGTCCAAGAACCCTTCCAAGATACCCGCTCCATCACGGTATCCTTGACCGCCCACCCTTTGCATCCAGCTTGACGGCCTTCAGGATAGCTTCCGGGACTGTCCTCCGCACGATTCGTCGCCCTCGCAGGTCCACCGCACCGGCCGCACCGGCTCTCCCAAAGGTGCCACCCCCTTCGCCTCCTTTACCACAATCTCCACCTGCCATAGATCGTGACATGACGCTTGAGGGTGCTTGGGCGCGTCTTCCCAGGCAAGAGGAGCATAGCCCTATCCGGATCCAGACTGCCCTTGATCTTCTCCGCCATGGCGCGGAACATAGCTCGAGCTCGTCTCGGAGCTTAGCCGCCCAGACGCCCTGTACCCGTTCCTCTCAGGCCTGGAGAAGCGAGCCCTCATCCACCAACCTCCAGTGGCGCTCGCCCTTGGACGGCTCCGGTTCGCTAGTCTATCCCTTTCATGCGGGGCGTTTGCCTTTTGTCCAGTTCCGCGGTCTCTTTGGCCTCTTGTCCAAGGTAGACCGCCTCGGCGAGGTAGTCCTCGTAGCGGACGCCGAGCCGGCCCCTGCCCTGCCTCGGCTTCCTCGAGGCTGACGGAGCCGAAGCCCTGTCGGTAGCACTTGTCCAGGATCGCCGCCTTGGTCTCGTCTCTCCCCCGACTCTGGGCCGCCTTGCGATGATGTCAAGCTGGAGGGCATGAAATACTTCTACAGCGACATTTGGAAATTTCCGTCCTTTTTGCATCAGGACTTGTGCAATCGTCTGCGAACTTTCCGGCCCAAACCCCGCATGTACCCGGAAGTACGATCTGCTACGGATAAGCGTCGGCCACACAGAGCCACCAAGACCCGGAAGTAGGATTTGTTACGGATAAGAGTGGGCCACACAGAGCCACCAAGACCCGGAAGTACGATTTGTTACGGATAAGAGTGGCGTAGCAATCCCACCTAGCGTTCCTAGCAGGAGATCGTCGAGTTCGTGCTGCTCACCTTGAGGTGGCCCGGGCCACGGCTCTCCAAGAATGGTGATGAGACTATCCGGTCGCCGCCGAGGGTAGCCCGGACTTCTCGTCTGCGCGCTATCCTGTGACCTCTCCGAGCTCGGGGAAGCTATCGTAGTAGCCGGAGAGCGCGGACACGTTCCCTTTCCTTTCCTACTCCCCCTACTTCAAAATTACCCTCCGCCTTGGGGGACTTTATCCAATGTACAAGGTTCCTCGCCAAGCTAAGTCATGCTATCTCTGCCCTTGCAAGCTGGAGGCAATAGCCGACGAGAGCAAGTAGATTCCTGCGATGGTTTCGGTGGGAAGATTATCGGGCTAGCACACATAGTCGTAACTCGTCCC